TATTCCAAGATTTCTCATGTAATCTCCATGTATCTGCAGCAGGAGTGAAGCCGTGTGATATAGTCAGTTGTAGCTCTCCCAGCCTCTGATCGCCCGGCTCTGCCGCTGTCTCACACCACAGGCTGCCAAAACCCTCATGCACGCATTCATAACATCCATAACATTTTTTTAAAAGAAAGTTACATGTTATATAAACTTTTCAACCTCAGGAACGTTCTCTTCCCCCATCCCCGTTTCCTTGAGAGCCCTCTATGGTAAGAGAAGATATCAGAAATCTATAGCCTCCACTATATTTTTTAAAAAAAGTGGTTCAAAGGAATATTATCCTTGACCGATGATGTTTTGTGTGGTGATAGCATGGTAATGAGCTAGCATCTAAGCCGAAAAAGAAGGAAAATTACTAATCTGAATACAAAGCAACAACCTTTTATTGTATGTAAAACAGAAGTCACTGGGAACACTCAGCAGGTCAGGCAGCATCTATGGAGAGAGGAAACATTAACACACTTTCCTCTCTCCATAGATGCTACCCTAGTGTTCCTAGCGACTTCTGTTTTTATTTCAGATTTCCAGTATTTTGCCTTGAGACTTTTATTTTCATATCTCAAAAAGCTACATTAATTTAAAGTGCAGCTTTTGCTTATTTTGTGCATTGCTGCTGATTTGCAAAAATATGTAATTGTTTTAAGATATGGAATTAATTTTTTTGTGAATATACGACCAATCTGTTTTGCAAGTATTTTTCCTAAAAATAATCAGTTGCATGTATCACGAGATTACCTCAGGTTTGTTATGCAATCATTTCGTTGAAGCCTAAAGCAAAATCATCAAGGATGAAACAATATGTGTTCGAACAATGTATAAAGAGGCAGCACAGAGCATGAGGGAATGGTTTAGATGCCTTTCGCCATATGGCAAGATTCCAGAATCGACAAATGGTTAGATAGAGGCTTCCCACAAGGAGAGAGGAAAAATCTGCCCCATAATGGTCTTGAGTAGCTCACCATGACTCTAGCAAAGGCTTGGGAGAATGTAATGTACTTTCATTGTTGATTAGGGAACATCACTTATTGTGTGTATGGGGGGGAAGTTCATTATCTAAATTAACTGAACTCTCCCAACACTTGTGTAATTGTACATATCAAGGTTGTAAATTACCAAAATGATTCCACCGAGGGCCAAATGGTAGTCAAGCATACTGCAATTTGAAAGTTTTGGGGCCTTTTCTTAAGGGCTCTGTTTATCCTTGTCTGGTGAGCAGGTTACCAAACAAACAGATGATTTAAAAAAAAGGTTGCAGGAGAAGTTCAGACAAAAACTATAGGAACAGTCAATGTGGTGGGAAGTTGACAACCTTGGAGAAGGTACAAAGATATTGAATGAAGTGAAGGAATAGTCGGGGGATCCACAGTGCAAGCAAAGTAGATAAAATTGAATTTCTGCTAATCCTTTGTGTGTAAAGAGGCAATGGGGAGTTCATATCACTCATTGTATTTCAGTAATGTAGTACCAAGCTTTGGAGTTATTTTAATACTTTTGTAATCCTGTGGACCTCATGGTATTGATACTAAAAGTTGGCAGTAATTGTCCGTAACTGCTGTCACCCCAAAAATATAGCTAGGTCTATTTGGGTGAATATATTCTTTGTGAGAATCTGGTTTTATCTAATTGATCCTTTAAAGTACAACAGGTCTGTTTTAAATTAATCCAGTTTTTGCATGGAAATGAAAATGCAATAATCAGGATGATTTAAGATTTTCTTAAAGCACTATATCTCTCTCTCCCTCCGCATGTTAATTTAACTTGTAGTTATTTCTTCACATCTAAACACTTTCTTAATCTTATTGAAATGATGGAGCAGCAACAATAAATCACACACGATTTAAGTTGTGTTAAAATTTATCAGTTACTTCGAGATTTTATCTGAGTGATGGGGTTTGCTTCACATTTTACATCCTCACGTTGGCTTTGTGAAAAACGCTGACAAAGTCCTTTCATTTTGGGATAATGTGGATTCTGAGCAGCTGAAAATTAATTTCTTGTGTGCAGTGGCCAGCTGGATCAGATATTTCACCCTAACATTTCCTTTTTATATAATCTATTACTGTTGCAAAGTAAAAATATTGACTGAACCGTTTTTAAATATTGCATTTTAACAATAAACTTATATCCTTACACCTTAAATCTGTGAGACAGTTGTTACATCTGATTCTTATACACAGTGTGGTCCAACTTGATTCTTAAGGTACCACTGGAGCAGATACATTTGGCTTCTGATCGCTTTAAAAGATGTTTATATTCACCTTTGACAATCTGATGATTCAAGATAGGTAGCGGAGTGGATATGTAGGAAAGCTTGGAAAGCATCCGAATAGCTGTTCTTAAAGTCTGTGAAACATAAACATCGTGAATGGATTGTGTCCACTCCGGGGAACTTCAGACTATTAGGCTGAATATTGGGCTTTGTGCTTAATCTAAATGTCATTACTGCAGTAAATTGATTTTTGCAGCTGGCAGAAATGATCGAGTATTTTACTGATGATTTTGTTGAAGAATAGATAGTAAAATAGATTGAGATCTCAGTGCTCAATTTTCCCAAGGTATGAAAATTATCATTGTAGTTTTGTGAAAGGTTTTCATTTTTGGTTGTATCCTGGGGAGGGGAAGGTTTAGAATTTGGAGTTGAGATACAGATCAGCCGTGATCTAATCGAATGGCGGAACAGGCTCAAGAGGCTGAATGGCATACTCCTGTTCCTATGTTCCTATGTTTAATTTTTTCCCTTAAACTTAGTTACCACTAATATCTGCTTGCATAATCGTAATGGCTTATTTGACCTAATTCGTAATGTTTATTCAATATTTATATACTGATCCCAAGGTTGTTGAATGTAATGTTTTGATACACGGTCATTGTTTTTATTCTAGTAAATGTTTCCACATTTAATAATAATCCTTTCATTTGATAAAACTGAAATATCTCAAATGCTCCACTGCTGTAAAACATGGCGCTTGAACCCAGAATCTTCTAATTCTGAGCCACGCTGATATCTGACATATTTACATCAATCATCATTCAAATATAAATCATCAACAGTAATATCAGACTTCACTGCAACTGTTTTATTATTATGAAGTACTGATGATGAGACTCATTTTATATCCAGTTTACACCATATTGAAAGTGTTTATACACAGTGGAATGAATTTTAAATTCATGCCTGCATCTATTTACTTTTGTGCAGATTACTTTGAATTGAAAGCATGTCACAAGTCTGTAGTGCACGTTGAAGAATTGCCAGTCATTCTTATGCATCTCTGATAACTTTTTCAACTTTAACTTTCACTGCACTTGGTTTGATGGATATTCAGTGCTGCAGTTAATCAGATATTGCCACTGTCAATCATAAATCAAGCTGGAAATGGAAAGGCACAGTGGAAGCTTCCCCTGTCGTCTGATTTATGTTCTCACAATTGTGTTGGCATGGCGAAGGTAATAATAATAATAATCCTTGCATTTCATATAGCTCTTTTCACGTCTTTCAGATGTCTCAAAGTGCTTCACAGAATATACTGTAAAGTGAATTGACTATATTTGTGGGTGAAATGCGGCAGCCAATTGCGTACAGCAGTGTCCCACAAACAGACATGGATTGAAGTGACCGATTTTATTATTGTTTTTTCTTGAGGGATTATTATTAGGTATTATTATCAATGCCTAATAATAATAATTAGGTATTATTAGGAGATTTTATTTAAATGCTGTCAGCTTGATGGTCCAATTGCAGAAGGATTCTAGGCTAACCTTTCCCCAACCCCCCCACTATCCTCTCCCCCATTTGAATAATAGCAGATCACTGTAGGAGGGGGAATACACCTATTGGTGCAATTAATGTGTGGGAATAGGGAAGAGAGAAGAGTTCATAGACCAACACTGCTGCATTTGTATCTGCAAAATTTCAGCTCAGCAAGTACCACAACTTGGGACGTCCTCCCGACGTGAAAAGCGCTATATCAAATGCAAGGATTATTATTAACTGTGTTGTATGCTGCATCACCTGGAGAAGTGTTGGGATAATGACTGGTAGAAAATTCCAGAAACTGCTTAAAAGCTGTAGTTTCTCGGAAACCACTACATGGATGTAGCTCAAAAGATGATTTTTTTTAACCATAGTTATCTAACCATCTCAAATAGGAGTTGCAAAAGCATGTACTTTAGCCAAGTCCACTCTTGCTTGAATGTTTATAGCAAGCCTTCAACTACTTTCAACGTGGGAAGGGTTTGAGAGTTGAAGTGAATTCTGTTTTTTTGTATTGAGTATCCTGGTCAACTTGATAATCAAAATGTAGAGCGGTCAGCTAGTTTGACAACGTGATTACATTTTCTATAGGGAGTTATTTAGCTGAATATTTCTAACAAAATCTAATTTTAAAATGTATTAATGTACTTATTTTATAAAGCGATTGAACAACCAGAAACCACCACCAACAACAACAAGATTACATTTGTATAGCGCCTTTCACGCCTTTTGGGAGGGCATCCCAAGGCGCAGGACCGAGACCAGCATTTCAGACCTGAGCTGGGGTTGGGGGAGTAAGGGAGGGGAGCGGAAGGGGGGTGGGCGATGGCATGGTTGAAGAGGTGGGTCTTGAGGTGGGACTTGACGGAGGCTAAGGAGGGGGCGAGGCGGAGTGACTGGGGGATGGAATTCCAGAAACCAGTATCTTAACCTGTTCTGATGAAAGGTCATCGACCTGAAACCTTAACTCACTTTCCTCCCTGAGTGTTCCCATCGTCTTCTGTTTTTATTTCAGATTTCCAGATTCTGCAGTATTTTGCCTTTTGTTTTATGTTAACCTGTTGTAGTTTTGTCGATGTGAGCTGTGAGACGAGTCTGTTTTTTTAAAAAAATATAGTAATCACTTCTTCCCTCTCCTAATACTTCAACAAATTTTGCTGAATTTTTCTGAGAATAATTGAACGTACATTTCTTTTCCCAGATGTACGAGGCCCACCCACTCACAGAATATCTTGTGGAAAGTCTCATTACGAACGTGCGATATGGAACCCCAAATTTTGTGTTGTCACAGAGAGTCAACTGCTGCTGTTGGACAAGGAACAGGTACGTGAAGGAAGAGCTTTCATTTTTTTAAATAGAAAGAAATGTAACTAATTGCTGTGTGCAATCGGCTGCCGCGATTCACCCACAAAATACCGGCACTCCCAATTTACAATATATTCTGTGAAGCGCTTTGAGATAGTGCTATAGTGAGATAGAGATAGTGGTTTACTAATTATTGTTTCTGTTTTTTTAAGATAAAAGTCAAAGCGAGAATATTTAGAAACTTGTGTTTTTTGCGACTTTGTTTCCTCTAATTTTTTTCGGCTATGTTTAATCTTTAAATAAGTTAAGAAACGATTGCGAGCGGTGTACATGTCCTAAGTAGGCATTGTGCATTTTGCATAGATTGCCCACATGCTCACTGATTAAGGAGTTGATAGATTTGGCCCCAGATTGGCTTTATGTTTGTGATTCTCTCAAATCCGCTTTTTCATATCTGAAGCAAGCTGATGAGATGTTGAACAGCTGCCAAATACTGCAACGGCAAAATTGCGCTGTATTCCAAATTGTACATAGAACCTTTATAGTTAATCCCAATTTTTCCATTACAAACAATTTAGACTACATTCCAGTTGTATAAATTTACTTCTGGTTTCCAAATGTTTAACAAGAATTTGCTTCTCCCCCACTGTAAATCAATGGAGAATAATTCTGCCTGCTACCTACAACAAAGTGCAATTTTAAAAACCAGATGATATATATGTGTTTTGAACACATCTGTTTGCATTTTTATAGTTCTGAAAACATAGCAATATCAAAGTGCCCTTTTTCGGTGTCGTTTCAATATTCAGTCTAGATGTTTTGAAGAATAGGAATGTTATTATCTACTAGTGGTTTGAATCAAGCAAACTTTCAGTACTTCTAACAATGTGAATGTGACCTTGGGAAGCTGATCTTGAGGTTGTATTGGAGTATGTGGGAATGTATTGTCACATTCCCAGTGGGAATAGGACTCCAGGATTTTGCTCGTGTAAGATACATGTTTGGTGCCTCGCATACATTCCTTTCTCTCACAGGTCATTATGATCTTCTAATTGTAAACTAAAGGTTAGGTTTATCTAGTTTTGTGGTTGCAAGAACATATATTTGTATTTAGCTGCAATGTCATTGCATCATTTAATGGTGATTACATCAATATTTGCTCTATATATTGAGTGGGGTGACAGCTAATGGAAGGCATAATGTATGCTGGTTTAGCAGAGGTGAATGAATAATAATGTTGCATAGCAACAGGTGAAGTACACGTGATGATGTTCCAGCCTTCAGGAGAAAGCAGTAAAATCTGTTCAGTTAATGTGGTGTGGGGGGAGGGAGAACTTCCCAGTGTGAACACAATTGGTTGATGTACAGAATTCTGGAACAGAGTTTGAACTTGAATTTTTATTATATCTGTCAAATTGTCTGAAAGCACTTCACGTGGAATTACTGTCAAGTGTATGACTGCATTTTGTAGGCACCCATGGGAGCCATTTTCCCCAGCAACGCCCCACAAGCAGCAATGCATTTCTATTGTAAAATGTGGTCACAGGATCTTTAATGTCTACCCAAAGAACAGAAACAAGAACAACAACAAAATTACATTTGTAAAGCGCCTTTCACGTTGGGAGGACATCCCAAGGCGTTGGACAGACAGAGTTGTGGACCCAAGCTGAGGGTCGGGAAAGGTGGAGGCAGGGGGGGAAGCAGGGAGATTGAAAGCGTGGTCGAAGAGGAGGGTCTTGAGATGGGTCTTGAAGGTGGCAAGGGAGGGGACGAGGCGGAGGAACTGCGGGATGGAGTTCCAGAGCGTGGGGGCAGAGTGGTGGAAGGCCCGCTCGCCAATAGTGGGGCAAGCGAGACAGGGCATCTGAAGCAACGAAAGCATGTATGAGGGTTTTGGCGGCTTGCGGTGTGAGACATTGGCGGAGCCAGACAACGTTGTGGAGGTAGGGGAAGGCAGTCGGGGCATGACACAGATGTGGGGTAGAAAGGATAGTTGAGGGTCAAACAAGACCCTGAGGTTCCGGACTGGCTTAGCAAGGTGGAGTGTGCAACCATGGATGGTGATGCTGTCAGCACCTGAAGTGAGGAGCCAAACAGGAGAGCCTCGGTCTTGTTGACGTTCAACTGAAGAAAGTTAGCTCTCGTTCAGGACTTGATGTCCGACAGATATTCTGTCAGAACAGCAGTGGTCCTGGAGTCAAGGGTGGAGGCAGAGAGGTAGAGTTGGGTGTCATCCGCATGCATGTGGAAGTTGATCCCATGTCTGCGGGTGATGTCACCAAGAGGGAGTATGTCGATACTGAAGAGGAGGAGACCAAGGACAGAGCCCGCACGAGACAGTCCGGGGGCTAGAGGAGAAGCCATTTGTGGAAATTAAGCGCAGGCGGTGTGAGAGGTACGATCTGAACCACTCAAGGACGGAGACGTGAAAGTTGAGGTGAGAGGAGAGGCAGTGGATGAGGATAGAGTGGTCGACGGTGTGAAAAGCAGCAGAGAGGTCAAGGAGGACGAGGAGGCGGAGGGAGCCCTGGTCGCACATGGACAGAATGTCATTTGCCACTTTGACCAGGGCTGTTTCTGTGCTGTGGGCGGTTCAAGAAGGCAGTGGTGGGAGACGAAGGAGCGAAGCTGAGAAGCAACAACTCGTTCCAGGACCTTGGAGAGGAAGGGGAGGTTGGAGATGTGGCAGTAGTTTGGGAGTAGAGAAGGGTACAGGGAGGCTTTTTTTTAAGGATAGGAGTGATGACGGCGGTTTTTAATGGGGTGGGAACAGTACCAGAGGACAGGGAGAGGTTTACGATGTCAGTGAGTAGAGGGGCAAGAGGGTGGAGCTGGGAGATGAGGGGGGTAGGGATGGGGTCGGGGGAGAAGGTGGTGGTTTCATACGGATTATGGTGGTGATGAGAGAAGGGGGAGACAAGTTCAAAGATGTGGAGACAGGGATGGGTAGGGGCCGGGTTGGGAGGAGGGGATGTGTAGGGGGAGCAGATGTAGTGGCAGTTGAGCGGATTCCCTCGACTTTGGATTTGAGGAAGTCCAGCATTGCCTCGCAGTTGGCATTCGAGGTGAGGATGGACAAGGCGTGAGAGGGTGGGTGGAGGAGCTGGTTCGTGATGGAGAAGAGGAGCCTGGGGTTGACCTTAGCCTCCAAGATTGTCTTGGAGTAGAACGATGATTTAGTGGAGTCGAGGGCGGAGCGGTAGGATTTGATATGGTCTAGCCAGATCTGCCGATGGACCATGAGGTCTGATTTAAGCCAGGTGCGATCAGCGGAACGTGCCTATGTTTTAAGGGAGTGGAGGTGGCTGGTGTGCCCAGGTAATTTATGTGAATAGGAGACGGTTCGGGATAGTCAGGATCTTGGTTTAACATACATAGGAAATTTGCGAAAAACAGTGCACCCCAAGAACTACACCGACATGTCAGCCTGGACTATCTGTTTTAAGAATGTGACCTTGAGATTACTTATTGGAAGCCTTTTCCATTCATGTAGACTAGATCATATAGGGTAATTTGTATAATTCCCATGTGTAATTCCCTATTGATCGCCAGCCCAATTAAATCTATTCCAGTGGTCTTAGATATTTGTACCAAGAGCATTTGGTTACATTTTAGAAGTGGAGCCTGACCCTTTTAAATGGATGAATTGCACAAAAAATCCAAACCGAGTGGAATTGAGCGATTCAATTTTTAAATTTAGGACTTTTGGGAAGTAGTTCAGCGGGGTTTAATGTGTGCTGCATGGTTGAAATTATTGTAATTGAGAGAAACTTTTAAGTGCTTGAGATTGCAGTAACAGCTGATGATTCCTGCCTTCCACCAGCCAACGTACACATTGGAACTGGATACTTGTGTCCTTAAGTGTTCCCATTAAATGTTTCTTTCCAGCTGCAGTTGCAGTGGCAAGCTGAGTTGTGTGGCGGGACATTATGTTAGCGTTTCGCTCATAAAATATGCAGTCAATTCGTTTTACAGTACGTTCTGTGAAGCGCTTTGAGATGTCTCGAAGACACGATAAGGCACTATATCAAATGCAAGGATTATTATTAATATTAATGTTGGAGGATGCCAAGTAAACAAATAGTTATTGAAAAATGTAGACCTCATCAGATTGTTCTGTATCTTTACTATTGAAACCCAATTTGAATCCTATATCATTTTGCAAATGTTTTCTTTACATAGAATTGCCAATCAGTCAATATACACAATCAACCAATGTACTGCAATACTGAAAAAGCACCAACATTACAATACTAATCATCAGGCTAGTTTTATTAATGTGTAAATGCTAACAAAAAAATAAGTAGAGTAATACAATTTAAAAAAAAACATTTTAGAATTAAGTTTGTTGTGATATTTTGCCTTTTTGTTTCCCTGTTCTCTCAATCTTTTTCAAATGTTATTTTCTACTTATTTTCCCCATCACTTTTGAAACCTTATAGCTTCATTCTTTCAGTTACTGCTCTGAAAAAAAATCCGTACATTTGAAATGTGAGAGCAGTTTCTGGAAGAAAGGAGCTATAAGATTGACCAAATTTGGAAAGTGGAAGCAATGTTTTAACCAGCCTTGCATGTCAAGTGAAGATCTAAGGTTGACAGGCTGATGTGAGGCTGGTAATGTTCAAGGTTTTCAATTATAAAATGGTAGTATGTGTGTGTGCATATATATACATTTATGATATATATATCATGATACGTATATAATGTGTCCCATCTCCTGCTCAGCCTGTGCATGTACATCCTACCCTGAGAACATTCTGTTGTTCTGAAGCTATTTCTATCTCAGTTTCTAATGTTCCATTTAATATTCTGGAAAATTCACTACGTTCTGCAACTTGTTAAAACCTGCCGCCTTAGTTTCTGAATTTCTGGCTCTAATGAGGTGCTGCTTGCTGGGTCTTGTATCGAAATCTAAAATTTTCATTCCAGCAATTAAGTTATTCAATGAATTTGGAAATGACTGCTGTTTTTCATATTTCGCTTATTGAAGATCAACACAGCAGATTCCGGTGTCTTCTTAAATGACTCCATTGACGTATATTTGTGCGATGCTGTGCAGCACTACACTGGGACTTCATTACTATGCTCTCGATAATGGGATAAGACACAAAAACATGTAGCCTGTATGGTGTCTTTGACTGAGACAGAGTAATAACATGGAGCAAACAAGAAGATTTTAACCCCCTATATTCAGAACTCTGTACTCGCTGTACTATTTGCAGTGGGATACAGAACTCATTTTCCATAAATGATATAACATTTAGAACTGTGACCAAAAGAAAAAAAAATGTTATCTAATTCAAAGACTGTTTTCTTTTACTTAATATGTGACAGCAACTAATGCAGTCGCGGTGAGCGATGATCTATTTTCATTATCTAACTTGCAACGGCACACACAGAGATCTTTTTATGCATTCTGCAACAATTAAGAGTGATGGTTTAAACACCTCATGCTCAGCTCACACTGAGATTTAATCAGATATCTACATCTTAATGTATTGTTCCTTCACAACATCTGTTCTTCAAAGCAGCGTTTTTTTTTAACTTAACAAGGTCAGGTTAACAAGGTCAGGTCTACACACAAGGATGTACCTGATGATCGTACAAATGAGCAAAAGCTAAATAATAAACAACATAAGAATGTGTATGTAACTATCGAGATAAATTATTGAAAGAAAAATCAATTTTTATTTTATTTCACTTTCCTCTTCCCCTTCAATCTTTTTATGGTTTTACACGGCATATCCAGGAACTGTGCTTATGGGAGTCTGATTGGTAGCCTGAAAGCATTTGTGTTTCTATTTCCAGCCTCCTCTTGTAGAGACTCATCTGGATTCTGTTTGGCAGTTTCCCATCACCACATAAGTAGCTCACCCTTTTTGGGAAGTGTATCAATACAAACCTTGCCCCAAAGCATTTCACTGGAACTCCCAATCTGCGGTGTTACCATGCTGCTCCTTGTTTTATATACCCAGGCTCCTAGTATGAATAATCAAGTCAAACCAGTGATTCCAAAAAATGTGATCACTCAATCTACGACTGTTTGTGGGACACTGCTCTACGCAATTAGCTGCTGCATTTTGCCCACAAAATACACAGTCACTACACTTACAGTATATCCTGTGAAGCGCTTTGAGACGTCTCAATGGCATGATAAGGCGCTATATCAAATGCAAGGATTGATATTATTATTCTGTTCCCTCAACCCTCCTCAGTGCCCTAATCTCTATTAAATTCCAGCTTTGTAAATCTCAATACTGACTACTAGTTTGTAGGGCTAACTGCGTGCTGTGGGTGACACTGTTTTCTTTTTTTAAAAAAAAGGTGCTTAGACTAGTTCTGACTTTGAGAGGCAATGTAATGTACAGTAATTTTATATGGTGTTGGTATTAATGAGGGAGCCTGAAACTGTACAGATTCTATCCAAAGTCATAATAGAATTGGACACCAAGTGCTTTTAATGGGGGTCCAACATAAATGGTACTGTCACTACAAGTTGTTCGATGGAATTTAATGACGTTTTCATTTTCTGTGCTGCACTGAGTCTGAATAAGATGGTGGCTGGCAGTTATAAGGAATTTCTTGTGTTTCTGACAGTTTTTTTAATCTCATTTTTTGAAAACTGCCTGAATCAGTCTACGAAATGGAAGACGATTGGTGTAACTGAATCCTGTCAGCGCAGTAATGGTTGGCACTTTGATTCAGCCATAATAGCTTCCACCTGGATAGTGATATATTCTGTCTTCAAAGAACACTGCTGCTGCTGCTCATGAGAATGTAGAAAATCTCTGCTGTTGGAAATATTGTTCAGTGTGCAATATTTCCTAGCATGGATTTCAGCAAAGTTTTCTAAAGAGCAATGATTGATATTTTAAAATATTTGTAAACTGATGCATTTGTGTGTTTAAGGGCAGGTGTGTCCCAACCCTTTAAACAAAAAAAAGCTGGATTTACAAATAATAATAATTTTTGCACTTGGTAGAGCCCCTTATCACGTCTTTCAGACATCTCAAAGTCCTTCACAGAATATACTGGAAAGTGAATTGACTATATTTTGTGAGCGAAACGTACAATGTACAAGAGATGTATAATGATTGAAGTTCAGCATTACTAACTGTAAATGGAATCCACAGGAGCAAATGCAGTTGTTTGCACATCCCATCAAATAATCGTGTGTGTAATAATGATGGAATGACCAGTTAATGTAGCAATGTAAAATGATCACGTGAGTAGCCGATCGCCTTGTTACTGTTATAGTCAATTCACTTTACAGTGTGTTCTGTGAAGCGCTTTGGGACGTCCTCCTGACGTGAAAAGCGCTATATCAAATGCAAGGATTATTATTATTATTATTATAGGGAGGGATTGACTGCTCTATTGCAATGGATCAAATAAAAGATATGATGCTATTCTGGGACAGCAGTAATCCTTCTTAACTCTGCAATGTGTTGCTCCTGCACAGAAGATCACCAGGAAGATTGAGTGCTATTCCCTTCAATGGCTCATTCTGAGCTGGCCTGTTGTGTTGGTCACATTGCTCTCAGCAATCGTCGATTACTATGTGATTGCAGACCAGTTTTGAAAGAAAAGGTTCCTCAACCCAGTGACCTGCATATTTCCCACATTCATCATAAATCTTAAAAGGAACCTTCACATTTGGGGATATGAGCTTCACTTTAAAGCACTGTAAGTGTGAATTAGTAGCTGTGAAGAATATTATAAAAATGACTGACATCCTTTAGACATTAAAAAAATGTAGAAAAGGTTTGCCAGTAGGACCTAGTCTTTGGCCATGTTGCCTCTCAATGACTAGCATTTTCTCCTGGAAGTCTTGTCCAGAATATCTCCAGTGGCTGCAGCCATTGAATAAGTGTGTCTCTCCCTCACCCCCTTTTTCGTCACTTTGCATCTGACCTCATTCTTGTGAAATGCTTGGACATTATCCTACCTGAAGGGTGTGCTATATAAATGGAAGAAGTTGTCATTACTGGGTATGAACGTAGGTTTAAACATGAACCAGAAAGCGTAAAGGGTGTGTGAAGTGTACATGCTGGATATACAGTAATTGCTACTTCTCGGCTGGTGGTTGTTGTGTACATCGCATTGCCTTATTATGACGCATCGGTTTTGAGCTTCTCCTCAGCTGATGGATCAATCCAACGACCTATCTGTAATTAAAATGCATTAGGAGGCTTGATAACCTTGGATAAAGGCCCCCTAGATCCCTACCCTAAAAAAAGTTATTGACACAGTTGAGTGATGAGCATGATATTCCAATCAAGATGTTTGTGGACAGTTTGGCGGTTTGAAGAGTCAATAGATTATGTTCATTTTTTTTCTGCAGATTCATCCATTTCTACTGCAAGAGAGACGGGCAGAATCCTGTAGGGCAAGGCTACTACGGCGAACTGTCAGTGTTCCCTCTGAAAGCCAGTTTCCAGAGTTTCTGCCAGATGATCTCTCCGTGGAGCATGGTGAGTGCACAGCAATCTGTTATCTAATCTCTTTGCCACTTATTGAATTAACATATGATCAGATTTTGTTTCTGGTTAAAGTTGATGGATCTTTTTTCTAGACTCATATATATTGGATATGAAGTCTGCTGAAAATAAATCTCAATATTTCTAACTTTCTTATAATAATTTGCATTTTAATGCCGTTAGATTTTTTTTAAAAAAAGGTGAATTTTTTTTAATAAAGTTACCAATTGGTTAAGGTGATGCAGAAATTATGTTGTGAAAGTAACCTGTACCCTGTCGCTTTTGCAAATGAAATAAATTGAGATGGACAGCTACAAGACACTTTAAAAGCTGAAATTATTTTTTAACCTGTGTTAAATCTATCATTGCAGCTTTTGGGACTGAAATCATCTTTGTTGCATGCTTTGGTGTTGCAGTTTTACTCAAATTATGAACAAATGAAATATTTCTGGCAGATACAGGTAGTAACAAGGCCAACAGGTTCTGCTCATTCCAAGGAAAGGATGGTGAATTTCAGCAGCCTTTTATTTAGGATTTAAGAACCAGACAAATGGATTTATTGTATCTCTAGTTTTTCTGTGATTCCTATGTACAATACAGAGTATGCTATCTTTACAAATTTAGAAAGGTAAGTTATAGTTGTATCCATTTTTAACTGCAGTTTTACAACAGTGACACCGTCTGTCTTGAACACTTTGGTGTCTTCACCAGCACCGCTTTCTTCCACCTCCGACGCATCGCCCGTCTCTGCCAATACCTCACTCCAAAAGCCGCTGAAACCCTGGTCCGTGCCTTTGCCACCGCTCGGCTGGACTATTCAAATGCCCTCCTCGCCAGTCTCCCCTCCACTACCATTCATAAAATCCAGGTCATCCAAAACTCTGCCGCCTGCATTCTTACCCGCACCAAAACCCGATTTCCCCAGTCTTTGCCATTCCTTGCACTGGCTGCCTGTCCCAGAGAGGATCGACTTCAAAATCCTCACTCTTGTCTTCAAATCCCTCCACTCCTCTGCACCCCCCTATCTCTCTGACCTCCTCTCTCCTCACAACAGTGTCCTTTGCCTTCGCTCCACCGGTTCTGGCCTCCTCCTTGTCCCCTGAGTCCTCCGCTCCATCCTTGGTGGCCATGCCTTCAGCCACTAAGCCCCGAGGCTCTGGAACTCCCTTCCTCACTCCCTTCGCCTCGCCCCCTCTCTTCCTATTTTCAGGTCTCGGCTGAAGACCTTTCTTTTCGACCGCGCCTTTGGTCACCTTCCTTCCCCTCCCCCCGGCTCGGCCCCGGGATCCATTACTTTGAAGCGCTCTGAGATGCCGTCCGGCATGGAGAGCGCTATATAAATCCAAGTTGTTGTTGTTGGTGTGCTGTTATAATCTAATACAAATTTACACTTAGAGATCACTTCCATGTTAGAAGGATAAATGCAATATATAGTCCCTAAACTGGATTTGCTATGATTCATGAATTTTGTTTGAATTACACAGTGTGTAGGATATAGAAGTGTACCATGTCAACATAATATACAATTTGTGTTTCTTAACTAGTCAAAATGGTTAACTACCGGTACAGACTAGTTGGGCCAAATGACTTGTTTCTGTGCCATATCCTTCTATGTAAGCCAAAAAATTTAATTGGATTTTAGTAGTATGTCAGGGCTCCAATAAGCTGTCGAACATACATGTTCCTGCTCACAAATCTGTACTTGGTGAGTTCCTAATTGCAGCTCTGCCATTGCATGTCCTCGGTAGAAGAAATGGAAAAGCCAGCTTGCAATGTTGTTAAAAGCCTCGGTTTAGGTCCCTCTTTCTACTCAACCAAGAAATGGTCCTAAATCCAGGAATACGTAAGATAAGAGGGTGAAATATGAGTGTGTGATTTATCTGTGGTTCAACATCAAGAGTGAAACATGGTACGATTTTCTTTCGAGGAAAGGAGGCTAATTTTGAATGTGATGTTGTATGATTTGCCTGTAAAGCCTGGAGAACAACAACAACAACAACAAGATTCCATTTATAAAGCGCCTTTCACGTCAGGAGGACGTCCCAAGGCGCTGCACAGTTGGGTCATGACCCTAGCAGGGGGGAAATGGTGAGGGGAAGGGAGGGAGCGAGGAGGGGGGAAATGGTCAGGGTGAGGGGAGGGAAGGGAGGGAGCGAGGAGGGGGAAATGGTCAGGGTGAGGGGAGGGAAGGGAGGGAGCGAGGAGGGGGAAGAGAGTCGAGAGGGGAGCTGAAGGCACGGTCAAAGAGAAAGGTTTTGAGACCGGCCTTGAAGGAGGAGATGGAGGAAGTGGCGAAGGCACTGGGGGATGGAGTTCCAGAGCCTCGGGGCTGAGAGGCTGAAAGCCCGACCACCAATGGTAGGGCGGTTGGGGCGGGGGACGTGGAGCAGACCGGAGCCAGAGGAACGGAGGGTACGGGCAGGTAGGTAGGGGGGTAGTAGGTTGGAGAGGTAGGAGGAAGCAAGGCCGTGAATGGCCTTGTAGGTGAGGATGAGGATCTTGAAATCAATCCTCTGGGGGATGGGGAGCCAGTGGAGGCGAGCGAGGGTGGGAGTGATGTGGTCACGGTGTCTGGTGCGGGACAGTACACGAGCTGCAGAGTTCTGAATGACCGGCAGTGTGGAGGGAGGTGGCGAGAAGGCCGGCGAGGAGAGAGTTCCCGTAGTCCAGCCTTGAGGTGACAAAGGCGTGAACCAGGGTTTCAGCAGCGTGAGGGGTGAGGTAGTGCCGTAGTCTGGCGATGTTCTGGAGGTGATGGAAGGCGGTGCCAGTTGTGGTGCGGATGTGAGGGAGAAAGGACAGCTCAGGGTCGAACAAAACGCCGAGGTTCCTGACTGGCTTTGAGAGGTGGAGAGTGCGGCCTTGGATGCTGATGGTGTCGGAGAAACTTTGCTCATGGAAATCTATTGATAAGGTTTGATTCATTTCTGAAGTTAAGGTAATGGTGGTCAATACCAAAGGTCTGGTCACAATTTATCAAAGATGTTCTTAGAGTTATTGATTTGGAGGAATAGCCATTTCAGACTAAGGTGGCGTGGTAGAATGGCCCGATGGAACAATTTAGAGAATTAACACTCCAAATCATCTTTAAAAATCATAATTTGTAATTGGTGGAGTAAATACAACCATTCTTTAAATAGTTCAGTTATACATTTGTTGTGTTGCAGGAACATAACATTTATGAGAGGTGTTTCCATGAGTAAGCTTTGGTGATGTGTCCTCTTGTATGTGTTACAGAGTGAGTTGCAGGCAGCATCTTGAGCAAAAGTAGATTACCCCAACCGTGTGTTTATAATACTAATTAATAATAGTAATAATCCTTGCATTTAACATAGCCTTCTCATGTTGACAATATCTCAACAGGATTTTATTGAAGTGAAGTGTAGTGTAGTGACTTTGTACGTGTAGGCAAAAACACAGAGGCTAATTTGTGCACAGCAGTGTCCCACAAACAGCCATTAAGTAAAGGAATGACCATTTTTTTGTAATCTTGTTTATGCCACCTGTGTAGCTTAGCTGCTTGAGCATTGGACTTGGAATTAGAGAAGTACTGTGTCTGGTCCTGATAGATTCATTCTCCCATTTGAGGTTGGTAAGATGAGCACCATGGGTAGAAAATCTGGTTTATTACAGGTTAGGTGCTGTTTTGTGAACAGTTGTGTAGGCAGAGGGGCGTTTGATTATGTCATGTGCTTATTCTCGCAGGGAGAATTATTAAAATCCAAGGGCCAAATATAGTCCCAAAATGAAATGGGTTTCTTATTTGACAAATAACTACTGGAACTCTAGCTCCATGACTCATTCTCACCCAAATATTTTAAGTTAAAGAAGTGACCTTTTCACTCCACACATGTTTTCATTCACTGGGTATTGCAGCTTTTATGCTCTTAAACAATGCATACATAGAAATGTGCCTTTTACAATCTATCATAATTATTAGGGCGGATCTTTTAGAAAGTTTGGTTGAAGAGTCATGGAAAACCGTGTAAAGCTTTTTTCAGTTAGAATTTGCTGTACAAGCACCTTTAATAGAACATTTAGTACTGGATATGAAATATAATCTACCTTTTCAGCAATAAATTACTGCATACATCACTTCAGTAACTGGAGCAAAGTAGTAGTTGTTTTTACTTAAAACGTCAGGTGTGAGACTGGTTTGTGTGGTGATTTGTATACAGTGGATTTATAAGGTGCTTTACCCAACCTTGTTTTTCAATAATGGATTGCAGTCAGTGGTGCAGTTTCTTCAGGGAAAGGACAATCGTTGTCTCCAGCGCTCTTAATTATACAGAATTTAACTTAAAAGAAACCGTTAATTCATAGCAGAATAGAGAATATAAAACATTAAAGTGGTGGCTTTATAACTGCCCTGCTGACTACAAGTTCAATTAGAATCAATCAACTGAAATCTACGTATTTCCTTGCAAAATTTTCCATCAGAAAGAGTTTATCTTTTTCATATTGACCAAAAGGATGATGCAGCCGGTGTTTTCAGGTGTATTTTCCATTGAACTACCTATGGAATACAGTCAGACTTTAGATTTTAGTCATCTGTAGTGTTACATACATCCTCTTACAACCTGTGGTTTTATTATCATTTACCTTTGTTTCACCTTGACAATTTAGTGGAAAACATGATTTTTTTTGGTTAATCTCCTGATCTGTTTTTAATTCATTTCTGCCATTGAGGTGTGGAAGGGTCAGGATACATTTCTTTACAACCCTACTAAATCATTTAACATTGCCGTATTCGTTTCCATGCAAATCAACCATCTGGATACTTTTGTCTGTTATGTAAATGTGTTGTGAGGTTCTGTCAGAGTTCTTTGATCCATTCGGTTCTATGAATTTGTGGCTCTGAATAAGAAAGTAGATGTACAATTTGAATCCTGCAAACAGGTTATAGGTTACATGGATTAGCTTGGTTTAAAATAAACATTCGTGATGCAAAAGAGACCACACAGCAGGTGCTCAAAATGATTGGTAAGAAAACT